CTCAAATATAAAAGTTGTATTTTGTTCTTATTTCTACTGGTGCAAGATGAGATCTTGATGGAAAACTTATTGAAGTTCTAAATAATAATTATTGTTTGTGTATCAATCATTTTGAAAGTTCAGTTTTTATTTAACAAACACTAAGGGAAAATGTCTTCTCCATAATGTCATTTCTACAGTATTTATGTTCTAAATATAGTCTCATGGCATCACATTCTGACGTTGTATAAAATAGACGAAGACGTAAATGCATTTCTATCCATCATGCACCAAAATTTTTGGAGCATTTTTTGTATTAATTATTACTGTCAACTGTTATACTGGCTTCTTATTGACTAACTAATTTATTGATAAAAATAAGACTCTTTTTAATCTAATTAATTCAAAGAAATCTCATGCTGATAAACCTGCTCAATTTGATGTAACAACAAAGGAAAATAACATGTTACTGTTTGGGGTATCTCAACTTCGGATTAAGAAATGAATGTTTTGTGTTTTAAAGGCTCTGCATCATAAGAGAATAAATGTTACAATAACTAGCATACTGAAATTATGTAAGGAGCTTCGAAAAAAAGTTTAGTTTTTAACTCGAAAAAAAGTTTATCTGTATATTCTCATCTCACTTCAAGCAAAATTATTCAGAAAGTTTGATCAAAACTATTCAGAGCTAAGAAGGTTGAAATGATAGACATTCGTACAATTTGGATAAGCTTAACTGAATGTTTAGTTGTTGTTGTCATTAGAAACTAGCAGTTTTAAAAACGATTGTCTTAAAGAAATAGATTTTAGCGTTGTACTGCATATAAATGCTTTATTTAAATATTTACTCTAAAAAAACTAAATAAACAAAATTTTCTATTTTTTGCTGACAAAATATCAATTCAACAGGTTTACTGTTCAATTCTTGGAAAGAAAACTATTGTACAATGCATGCAGATTTTTCTAGCTTGTTAAAAAAGGTGTCTGACTGTGTCAACAGTGTGTGGTAATACTTTGTGATGAAACAATGGATATTAGGCATGGTTTAGAGACCAATACAAACTGAGACAAACCGCCAAAATTATTTACCAAAATCTTTATTTATATCATTGATTTGATATATTCTATTTAACATTATTCATGGAATTTATTGAAAAGTGACTTCATACTAAAAACCTAGCTTTTTTATGTTATTTAAGATCATGGAATTCTGTACTTTTGACATTTTATTTAAAGATTTTTTTAACATGCTTTTTTACTTAAAATAAAAAAAATTTGCATATTTGTTAGAACAAGAATTTTTTGCTTTTATTTGGCTGGACATGAAAATAATTAAAAAATTTTAATATTGATAATTATTAAATAATGCCTTTATGTTTTTCTTTTAACAATCAGTTTTGATTTTATGAGTTAATCTGTGTGTGTATATACATACATACACACACATACATACATACATACATACATACATACATACATACATACATACATACATACATACATACATACATACATACATACATACATACATACATACATACATACATACGTACATACACGGCTAGGTGTAGATACTGATTCAAATTCGCATATGTATGTATGTATACATACATACATGCATACATACATTATGTATGATTGTATGTATGTATGTATGTATAAATGTATGTAAATACATACATACATTTATACATATATACATGTGTGTGTGTTTAAACTTGAATTGATAATGATAATTTGCTGTGTAATTATTGCATTGTAAATTATTTTATCAAGTTTCATTTGAAGATTTTCAAATTGGCTTATTATTATGACCCGATAAGCTTTATTAAGACATGATATACTTAATATTAAACTGTATTATTGCTGCTTTTTTGAAAAATGTTTTATGAGAAACCTATTATTCTAATCAGAAATTTTTTAGAATTATGTCAAATTAATATAAAAAAAAAGAATAATTCTATAAATAGTTTACAAAATAAATTAAGAGCAATCAATTACTGACAGCATTTGGGTATTGAAAACAACGTATTTATTTGTTTTTAAATGTTATACTACCAGGGCATCCCACAATCCTCTGTAAACAAATTACATGTTTTTACGCGAGTCGACAGCGCTTGCTTGCGATGCAGAAACACCATAGTTACAACTAATAACATTAAATCTACTATATAATTGGCGAACTGTATACCGACATGCTTCAAAAGTTGGTGAAATATTTGCTGTTAACTATTTTTTGTATTTTTATTATTTAATAATTATTTAAATTGTGTAGAAAATAGTTAAGATAATAATAGAAAAACAAATAGTTATTTCGTCGTTTTATTATGTGTTTTTCGATAATTTATCGTTCTATTTTATAATCGCTATGAACTTTAGTCGCTTTTGTAATCTCATTTATTGATCAAAATTAAAGCGGGCTAATGTCCTTTTACTTATCTCGGCCCGACATCATTTTACTGATCTCGGCCCAACGTTGTTTTACTGATCTCGTCCCGATGTCATTTTACTCATATCGGCCCGATGTCATTTTACTGATATCGGCCCAACGTCGTTTTACTGATATCGGCCCGACAACATTGGGCCTATATCATTCTGATGAGCAAAAATTATGTTGGCCCGAGGTAATTAAACTACCATTGGCCGCTATGTTGGCCCGACATGTATATGTTATCTGGGAGGTTTACGCTGTATCTTTATTTAAAAGCATTTATCACTTTTTTTAACATACTTTCTACATTGAAACATGTGGAAATTTCTTTCCATGCATTAATTTTAACATATTTGTCTTGGAATGTAAAATGTGATATCGTTTTGTAATATAATAATTTAATATAAGGTTTTTTATAAGAAAGTATAAGAAAACAAATGTTAAACTCTGATAAGAACATTTCTGTTTAAGAAACTTTCACCGCAAGAACGATTAGCAGGTTTAACTCCATGGAGGGTTTTTCACAAAATGGTTTAACTTGGTGTGACCGCTCGAAGTTAAACCTTCTTGTGCAGTGTAACTTTCGGAATTATTAGCGTGCAATTTTACATTTGCGAATTCTCGATTTAAGTCTTGCATCTTATTTGATGAACTTACTAATGTTTACCAATGTTCAGAGTGAGTACATAGAAAATCAATATGAATTTTGTTTCTTTGCCACTTTAAAAGCAACGTGCTTTTGCTTTTTTCAGTGTTAACATCACTTGATATAATATTCAAAACTTGTTTAATTTTCGCTAATGGCGATTCGTAAAAGGTCGAAATAAATCCGACAGCGTTCCGCTGCAGCGAAACGCTGTATCAGCATAATAGCTAGAAATGTTTTATCTGCACATGCTTATCAACGAAAAAGTTCGCTTCATGCGAATATTTCGTCTTGTGGAAAATGGCCTTTAAAGCGAATTAACACGAGCAATTTTTTTTTTGCGCAATGCGAATTTTTTGTTGAGCCGAAATTTTAATTTACACCAACAAAACTGTTGGCGCGCTTTCTGAAAAACTAGTTGATTAAAAAAATGTTGTTATTGATTCGAAGAAAAATAATTATTTTAAAGATGTTGCATAGATTCATTAGATTCCGTTGGTTTGTTCACACTTTTTTCATGTAAAAATGCTATTTGATCAAAAAGTTTACATTTTGGTAAGTTTGATGATGCTGCTCCTGATCGAGTCATACGATTACGTTTATCTAAACATTCCAAGCACTGTGCAACGGTTGCGTTTTTTTTTAATTTCCTAATATTATTAACTCAATTAAGTTAGAAATTTTATGGTAAGTTCTTTAATTTTAATATGTACTCGTGTGACTAAAATTATCAAGAAGTACAAAAACTATAATAATTTTCTTTTTAGTTTTTTTAACTGATATGTGTTTAAGCATTCAAAAGTTTTAAGTGACCCACGCGAAACCTTCGCGCATAAATATAGTGTGGTGTGTATTTGTATTTAGTCTGCTTTTTAGTGGCATAAGCATGATAGCCATACATGAACCGCTTCAACGCTATCTCATATAGGAGAGTGATATGTTTTACATATGCTTTTACCTTTTGGTCCACATAAAATTTACTGTACGAATTTAGTGTGGCGTTCTTTCCGATTTAGTGTGGTTTTAATTCTATTAGTTTCATATACCTTCATATGGATCTCACTTTCGGTTTCGGTTAAACTTTTATTTAGGTTGTTCACTATTAATAATTAAGAAATTGTTTTATTTTTCAAAATCATTAAAACTTAAATTATTTTTTTCTTAGAATTAAAATATTTTTAAACTTTTCAACTTTTTCTCTATGATTTATGTCTTGCAGCATAGTTAAGCATATTGAATAATTTGTTCCATGTTTGTGATTATAACGACAAAAATGTTTTGCAAACGTTTTTTGGTTATGACTAACAAATTGAATTTTTTCTGAATGAACTTCAAACTAAAATAAGTTTGTTTTAAAAAATTAAAAATCTCAACTTTAAAGGTGGTAATCCACATTATAAACACTAATAATTGAAGAGAAACTATTATCTTATTAAAAAGTTTAGTTTATTTAGGCACTTATTTTTTTTGTTGGCTAAAGATATAAGTATGCATATTTTATCAATAAATCAGGGATTAATGATTGTTTTTGCTAGTGGAGTTTGATAAAAAAAAGAATTTGTTCCGAGTTTATGATTTAAGTAAAAATTCACCAAACAATGATGATAACTTTAAGGTGCTACTTTTTTTTTAATTATTAGGGTGTTTCAAAAAGATTTTAAGGTCTTTTCACATACTAACATTTAAAAAAATTCAAAGAGGAAGTTCATGCCGCCATCCTCACCAATGTCGCATACATGCCCAGAGCAGTCATTAAACCTCGGATCTTTTAATTCTGAGTTCAACGAATTATCTACTGCAGCACAGCTGTTTAAAAATTAAATATCTAACTCACAGTACTTAGTCATAATTTGTATTAGGACATTTGTATAAGGCTCTTTGTATTAGGACATTCATATGTATGTGGTTTAATCAAAATGTGGTTTAATTAAATTCTACAATGACTTTTGCAGATGCAAATACTATGAAATATATATTTATGCTTGCTCAATGTTGTACAAATAAAATCGTTACCTAAAAAAAGAGAGAGACTTAAACATTTAAAGACCGTCGCTAAAGTTCCTAATGTTTATAAAATAAAAAAAGGAAGAAATTTTAATAAAAGCCTTGGCTTTGAAAGTTTACAGATTGTTTAGAATAATGCCTTTCATTATTTAACTGCACCTGTATAAGTTTGGAAGGTTAATTTACAACATAAGAAATTAAAAAAAAAAAAAGATGAGATGACATAGTAACATTTTAAACTAGACAAGGATCATAGGCTATTTATTCTCTTGCCATCGATAATACAGGTGGTCCACCATTCGCTTGAATTTCCTAAAAATAGATATTGTATGACATAAAACTTTATTTAAAATCAGATTTTAAATACATGCTAACTGAATAAAATAGAAAAATTTATATATCAAGGTTGCAAATTTTAAGGCCTGTAAAAGTTTTTTTTTTAATTTGAAAAATTCCTGAAACAGAACATTAAAACATGATGAACAATAAAACATGATGAAGCATTAAACAAAAAAACTTTTGTTTAAATATAAACAAAAGTTGTTTTTTTTTATGTTTCAAAAATAGACTTACCCATGTGGTAAATATTATAATGTTGGTCACATGGGTAATCTATTTTTATAAGAATTGACTTTTGGAAATTTGGTTGCATTTTTGAACAGGTCTAATTATTTTTTAATTATTTCAATTTTCTTTTAGATAAGAAAAAGTTCCATTTTTGAGAAAAATTAAAAAGTTTGCAAACTGTTTTGTTACATAAAAATGTTAATACAAATGAGATATACAACTTACCAAAATTAGTTCTGAAAACTGGTCAAAAAATAAAATTTTATTTACGTAAATGGTATTTTTTTTTTTTTTTACATACATAAGGGTCGTCCATAAATTACGTCACGCTATCGGGGGTAGGGAGGGGGAGAGGTTAGTAGTTTTGTGACGACTCATGAAAAACTTGCTACTTAACTGTTTATTTTTTATCTATTGTGACGAAGGTGAGGGGGGAGATTAAAAAGGGTCGAAAATTGCGTTAGAATATTCTGTTCAATCAAAAGGGCTTAGCATAACAAAAACCGTGTTTAAGTTAAATAAGTTGTGCAACATGATTTTGTTGGTGACTAAGTGATTTTTGTTTACAATACCCCAACTCGCATTAGCATAGTTTAGATAACAATGAAAAAAAAAGTGGTACAGCTGTCTTTTAAGCTTTCTGTTTCAAATAATATTTCCATAATTTTTGGAAATTTTCAATGACAAGTTCTCTCTGTGTCCTTTTTTTCATGTTATTTTCATCAATAAAAACTCTCAAAAAATGTCTAACTGTATTTCAGTTACTTTAACTTTTATTTCGAACGTCATTTATAAAAAAAATAGAGATTCACTTGGTAGCAGGGGATCCAGACCATCTAGTGAGGGAAGGCGATTTTTCAGCAACCCACCAAATTTTTTTATATAATTACTTTCCATTTAATTACTCGCCATGGTTTCTATTTTGGAAAATAAAACATTAGAATATATTTTATTTTTATTTTTTTACTTTCCATTTTGTTTTTTATTAATGACGCAAATATAACTTTTTATTATTAATTTGATATTAGTAATGTTTGCTTTAAATATATTCAAAGTGACATAATAAACTAAACACTAGGGATAGCCAAAATTTTCTGTCTTCTTCGTTAAAATTCGTTAAATAACTCTACAATAATATCAGTTAGTCTTATTGTTTTTTTTAATTTTGAAAGAATAACTTACGTAATTCAAACCTGCTAAATTAATGTAAAAGTTGTTTTAATAGAAACCAGCGCTTTTTATTCAGCAGTTAATTTTTTATTGAATGATTAAGTTTTTGATCAAATATTATTGACTTAAACAACATTTAAACTAAATAGTAAAGAAAAATTACTTTTAAAATCAATAGTTTTAAACAATTTTGTAATATAAGTTTAATACAAGTTTACAATAAAAAAAATATTATATATTGTTGTGGCGTAGGAAGGTTTTTAAATGTTTAAAATAACCAACTTATAAACTACAAGATAACTTTATAGTAAAATATTTTAATGTTCAAAAATTATGACCATATAAAGTTTGCGACCCCCTCAAATTTAGGGGTGTTTAAAAACCTTCCTACGCCACTGATTGTTGCCATAGTTATTATTATTTTTTCAAGACGCAACGAAGAGAATATTTAGCACCACCCCGGAAATTAGTATTAGTATTGGTATTCAACATGTTGAACAAGAGAAATTAGTACTACAAGACAAAGACATAAACGGGGAAAGGCAGAAAAGGAATGTTACTTGACATAGTTATGCTTGTCTCAGAAAATGAACAGGTTTTAAGTGAGCCTTTACCTGACTCTGCATCCACTAATTTTGGCCGAACATGCTTATTTCAGATTTCAAATGCTCGGTTTATTAATGACATTGGAAACTTTTTTGGACAACTATTGATGATATAACTATAAAAAACTTCTTAGAATTGCCTTGGAAACCATCAAATGACTACAAAATGCCGCATTCAGTTCACATTAAGAAAAATAATTGAGAAAAGCGATGTCTTAATCATTCTCAATTGAAAAAATACGAATGGTTAGTATATTATTTTTATACCACCGGACTGCAGGATCTCTCAAACAAGTTGGACTTCAGAAGCTAGTTAAACAACCATCACAGGTGTTTGCTGAACTATTTCGCAAGGAAGGAGATCTAACAAGTCACGAAAAAACAGCATATCACAAGGAAGCTGTTGAAGTAGGTGTTTTTTAAAAAACTATAATAAACCAGCAGTGGATATTGTAAACAGAGTAAACATTCAACGGCTTTAACAGGTTTTAGAAAATCGTCAACGGTTGATACTTATTGTTGAAACAGTTACATTTTTAGGCAAAATATTCCTTTTAGAGATAATGGCAGCTTATTAGACATTGACAATAACGATTTTGATGTAATGACAAATGAAGGTAGTTTTCGAGAGTTGCTAAAATTTAAAGTAAACTGTGGCAATTTAAATTTAGAAAATCATTTGAAAATAGCTAGAGCTTCTGCAACATACATAAAAACTACACAAAATGCTTTAATTGAATGCTGTAGAAAAGAAATATGTGAAAAAATTGTGACTCGTGTTAGAAAATCAAATTATTATGGTATTATGTTTGAGGAAACAACTGATGCATCACATCAGTCACAAATGACAACAATATTTCGTTTGCTACAATGTTTGATGCCTGATGGATCAATTCGAGAAAATTTTATTGGATTTTTTAATTTGCATGATCAAAATCATCATACCAAAAGTAATGCAATTATTCACAATAAACCTATTCTTGACAGCAAAGTTATTGTTAAATCGGTTAAAAATATATTGGTAAAAAGGTTACACTTTTCTTTTAAAAAAATGTGTCGGTGTGACAACAGATGGTTGTAGTGTTATGTTTAGTGTTATGTGTGACAACAGATGGTTGTAGTGTTATGTCGTCAATGCAAAAAGGAGCTGTAGTTGAAATTTAACAAGTTGCGTAAAATGTTTTTTGGTGTCCATGTTATAATGATGCTTTAAATTTAACTTTATCCAAGAGTTCGAACGTACAAGCACAGGGGCGGATCCAGGATTTTTCGATATATGAGTTAATAACTTCCAGATAAGTTCTAGACTCCAAATTTTTGTATTTTTATACTTTAGTCATTTAAGAATGATTTGTCGAAAATTGCGCTGATTAGAGCCTGGGAACAAAAAACCCTAAAAAGGATCTAAATATAAATTCTAATATCCTAAATTAGATCGTAATATTTTTAAGGTTCTAAATTTTTTTTGAAAAATTTTATGTTATTTAGAAATTATACCCAATTTAAATTTACAACCCCTTCGTTTTAAGGGGCCTCTAAACTTTAAACGGCTATAACTTTTGAACGCTATATGATTTTTTGATCAAACTTTAAATATGGATAAACATTTGAATTTTATTAGAGGAAGTAACTTTTTTTTTTCAAAAAATCCCCTCTCATTTGGGCGGGTGATGCCTACTATTTAGGGTATTTTTGTTCCCAGGCTCAAATCAACGCAATTTTTGGCAAAGTATTCTTAAATGACATAAGTATGAGCATAAAAAAGTTTGGAGTTTAGAACTTACCTGAAAGCTATTTAACTCAAGCATCAAAAAATCCTGGATCCGCCCCTGAAGCAATAAGAAATTGTTTGGGGGTTATTAGCAAAGTTGTTGTTTTCAATGCTTCTGCATAACAAAACTTTAATATAAAAAAATGCTAAATTCCCAACTGCTTTTACTCTGCAAAACACAATGGATTGAAAGACTTGATGCTTTGGTGGTGTTTAGTGTTGAACCTCCGAACATAATTGATGCACTGGACAATATATCTAAATGGAATGACAGAACATCTTCATCAAAAGCAAAAATCTTATTATTATCAATTTAAAAAAATGATTTTATTGTATATTTAGGCTGTGCAGTACATGCGTTCTCCTTAACAAATCAGTCTTAAACAACAGTCAGTTGTTTCAAAAAAAAAGTTTAAAGCAAAAAACTGCATTAAAGACCTGTTAATTGTTTTAAAGCATAAAAGAGAAAACTGCGAGGAAATGTTTAAGGAAATTTTTAGACCAGCAGAAAAAACAATAATTAAAAAAGATGATAGTTTTACCTACAAAAGAATACAACGACCGACATGTCGTGAAAAGAATAGTACAACGACCAACATGTCGTGAAAATATACCTTCAGATACAATGGAAGAATATTACAGGCGATCAATTTACTTCCCTCTACTTGATGCGTTGAAATTGGGCATAAATACACATTTTAATGAAAATAATAAAGTTATTGAAAATTTACAATGCCTTCAAATATATGATTTTGATGCCAAAAAATATTATAACGCTGAATCATAAAGATGTTGTTGAAACTTTTTCTTGGACTTAGCATCCGAAACTTTTAATTTACATGGGAAAAATTTACATGGGAAGTTGAACTATGGTAGTGCAAATGTATAAGGATGAAAGATGAGGGAGAAATTACATCACTTCCTACTGACCTTTCTGTTATTTTTAATTTGTGTGACCTGGTGCAATATTCAAATACTCACAAGTTGTATCAAATTATCAAGTTATGTCCTGTAAGTGTCGCCAGTAGCTTCTCAATCTTGCGAAGAATTAAAAATTGGCTGAAAATACGAATGACAGAAAACAGACTAGTTGGATTGGCCTTACTTAATATACACAGAGAAATTCCAGTAAATGTTGAAAAGTGATTGACCGTTTTGCGAAGTCAGGAATAGTATGAGTTGTTAAAATAATCAACAAGTTTTTTTATAAACGACTACATATACTAAATACAAAAAAATTCTTTTTCAAATCATGTAAGGGGGGAGGCCAATTGCCCTCGTCGCAACCCCTCCTCCTTCCACTCTTGCTTGAAAGTTGATGTTTTTTATAGTATGTTTGGAAAAAAAAAGCCTTTTTTTTTTCAATATTTAGAGAAAGTTTATTTGATTTAAACCATTTTGAAATTTTAATTTGTTCAATTTTCATAATATGAAATAGTGTTGTTATGGTACTATAAGATAAAAAATGTCAGCAAACATAATTGTCATTAAAATAGATGCTTTCAATAGAGTTATTTATTTTAAATCTGTATTGGTTACATATAGTATTTTTTTTTTTTTTTAAATGAATAAGTATTTTATTTAGAAGAATTCTCTCCATAATTTTTGAGAAATTAGAGAAAACAGAGATAATGGACGGTAATACATAATTAAAGTTTCCTATTTAAAAACTTTAGCTATTTTGAATTCATCAGAAAAAAATTGCTTGTTGGATTGGACTTTTAAAACTTTAAAAAGCAAATTTTTGATGTTATCATATGATTCAACTTTATTATTATTCAAATTTAGCATTTTAAAAGCTCTATCAAATTCATCAAAAAACACATGAAAAAATTTGAAATAGGACACTAAATCTGTTTATTTTTTGTTTTGCTAAACAATTTCATACATCATCTAATGGCAAACAGCTATTTAAGTAATAAAGTTTGTAGACGAAAATCTATTTACTATATAACACTTAAAAAATGTTATTTAAGAATTAGCAACAAAGTATTTTTGGCATATTTTTGGGAACTTAAAAAACTTGCTTGAAAAGTCATTGCTGAGCTAGTATAATAGTAAGTAGGACATCAAGCCAAGTTTATGGCAATGTTATATGGTAAGTAGGACATCAAGCCAAGTTTATAGTACTAGTAATGTTATTCTTTCTAATACCGCTCTAATTAAAACTGAAAATATATTTAACACAAATGTTTGATTTGCATCTTGTCCTATAACAACTTTAGACTTAACTTCAGTGCCCGAGAAACTTGACTGCTTGCTTAAAGAAGTAGATACAGACGGTAAGGACACAGGTGATTAAAAATATCCATTTAACTTATTATTATTTTAAGATGAAAACTTTGTTCCACCAATATCGATGCCTTGATTGCATTGACAACCAAATTTTTAACTAACATGAATTGTTTTCTAAAAGCTTACATTAAATAACAATATTTATTAACTACTAACTGATAGAGATAAGCTGTTGTGGTATCACAATAGCCTATCTCTATCAGGTAAATTGATTTTCAACTGGCATAAGTGATTACTATAGTTTATGGATTATAATATAAAAGGTCATGTTAAGAACATATTATTAAACATTCATTCACAGATTTATATAAACAAGAAGCAAGGAAATATTTCTTTTGCAATTTTTTTTTTCAAAAATTTTAAAAATAATTCCGGTGGTTACGGCTTTTTATTAAAATTAAACAAAAGTTACCCCAAAACATTTGCTCTACTAGCCCAAATGTTAGAACAATGAGTAGCATATTACACTAAACTTAAATTTATTTACAGGTTATAAATTTCATAAATAACTTTTTGGTTTTCGAACGTTATAATCATGTAAAATGCAAACCATTTTTTTTGAAGGATCCGGAAATTTTACCTGGTCATACACTTTGAACGTTTAATCATTAATAAATGAAACTTAAAACCTGTCGATGAATTTAAGTTTAGTATAATAGAGGAAATATATATATTATTAACTTTTTGCCTTTACATTTGTGGTAGGGTAAACGATCCTTTTGGGATGTTTTATTACCAGGCTCCAGTTACGGCAATTTGTGAAAAACATTCTCGTTTGGCACATGTATGAGGATACTTAAGTTTAGGTGTCATTGAACCATAAAAAAACCCTACCAGAGTCACTATGTATAAATCATATCATAAAAAAAAAATAAACAAAACGTGTAAAATTTTATTTAAATTTTGTTTTTATTTTTCTGAGAATTTGATGAATTTTGATTACTTTTCTGAGAAACATAGGTTTTGATGATTTCATTAATAATAAAAAATTATATCAGAATTTCTTTTAGTATTAAAGAAACATCTACATCAGTTCTTCATATGTAACAGCAACACCTTTGTAACAACAACAGAAACAACTTGTCGCATTAAATAATCAATATTTTGTAAATAAGCTTCCGAAATGACCATTTTTAAGGCAGTCTAACGAAGCTAACGTTATTTTAAAGCGGAGGAGCGTAAAAATGTGTATAAAAATCACTTAAATAATTCAAATATAGTTTATAAACAGTGACGGATCCGTGAGTTTTTAGTGGTGGTGGTGAAGGGATGTGGAAATATTTTTGTTTTTTGTACCATATTTGTGATTCTTAAAAAAAGAAAAAATAAAGGTCCTCAATTCCTAAGGATTTTATAGGACTTTCAGATTCTAGCCGGCGGGGGTCGCATCTACCAATTCCCTCTGAATCCGTCACTGTTCATAAATTGTATTTCCATATAAAGCTATATAATAAAGTATATTATAACTTCAGCTCAAAAAATGGTCAAGATCATCACCAATGATAATAAAAGAACATGGCCAACAATAATAAAATAGACAAGTAACTTGTCAAAATATTTAATTTTTTTTATTATTGAAGTCCATACATGTTTAAAAAACTTTTTCAGTTTTATTTAGGAGCCTGAAGAAGTATTTACGGTCTTATTACAGAGCACCGTGGATGAGCATTTAATTGAAAATTCACGCCTCCTTTCTAACCGATCTCGCAAAACTTGCCCAGAGGTGGGGTTTGAATAACGGATCCTTTGTTTCTGAGACAAGTGCGCTAAGGGCTGGTAAGTTTTCAAAACCTATAATTTTTATATGCATTGACAATATTTAAATAATTATAGAAACACCAGAATTTTTATTTTTACAATAACTGAATTTATTATAAAGTGAGTAACTTTTTGTTACTTAAGTATCAACAATTTTCATTTATTTAAAGTTTTATTGTTGTTAAAAGTATATATATGTTGTTATAAGTATGTATGTTTTGTTTTGTTTACAAATGACTATATAATGCTTTTGTAATTATTTAATAAAATTGCTCTTAGAATAATTATATTTCAAAACAAAACTTGTACCTGGGATTCCTGAACAAGAGCACATAATGGACAAAACAAATGACATATAAAATCTCCACAACAAGATCCCTAAAATGAAATATCGATAAAAGTTTGTTTTAACCATTTTAAAATAAATTTCATTAAATTGTCTGTTTATATGAGGGTTAAATAAATGAAGTAACATTATAAATAAACTTAAAATACTACCTCGATGTTAAGCTTTTGACGAATATCTGAACGAACTAATGCTCTAGATATCGGACCAACGCAAGTTAAACTTAAGCAGCCATACAAACAACAACTTTTACTGACAAATTCGGCATTTTTACCTGCTGTTACACATGGCAAAAAATATGTTATGATGCACGTTGAACAATCATTAAAGCAACTACATATTCCATGCTTAAATTCACCCATCTTAATATATATTTCTTTGTGTTTTCTTTTAACGTGATCTTATTTCTTACTTTTTTGAAAGCTTAAATACTTTGCAAGTATTTGAACAGTAACGAATACAATATATTGTGAGTAATACAATAAAAATTCGATATAACAGCGTTTTTAAACAACAAAAACGGGGGTTCTTAAACAAATAAAAGTTGTACTTTATTTTTTATAAACAATTGCTATTTTTACTAATTTTTTTAAGAAACCTTGCTAAAAAAATTAAAAGTTGTACGATTCAATTTTCCCTATTTTATATCACTTACACTTTGAGTTTTAATTATGCTTTGTAGCCGGTAATAGTTGAGTAATTCACATCAAGATTTAAACAAAAATTATCTAATAAATAAATTTGTAAAAAGCTTTAAAATTCCTTAAAATTAATAGATATAAGCTTGAATTGAATTGTTTTCGGTACAAAGCCGAATAAAAATTTGTTTAATCGCGGACGTAGTAAATGAAACAAATACCGCCTAAATCCGCAAACCACGCAATTTTCTACTCGTTGACGCAAAAAATTTATGTTTACATACAAACATATATGTATGCATGTATGTTTGTATGAATGTATGTATGTATGTATGCATACATATATATGCCATATGTGTGTGTATATATATGTATATATACATATATATACACACACACACACACACACTCATATATATATATATATATATATATATATATATATATATATATATATATATATATATATATATATATATATATATATATATATATATATATATATATATATATATATATATATATATATATATATATATATATGTATATATATATATATATATATATATATATATATATATATATATATATATATATATAAATATTAGAGATGTCACAAATATTCGGCCGAATATTCGGCAACACATAATAATTTTGAGGGTTCCAATATGCTTTGTTGTAGCGCATTCACTAGTCAACTACACTGTGAACATTTATGAATAGGTCGTGTCACAGCTTGCATTATTTTTTGACAGTTACACTAAATATTTCAACTACAGTTATACATGAAATATTTATACTCTTCAAACCATTCATAAAAATTTAAAAATAACCAGCTCATATATATCTTGAACTTCTGAGGCAATTTTAGAAAATACTATCGATTGGTTTAGCAAAAAGAACTCTAAACTTGTTAAAAATGATATTTTCTCGATAAAACAAACAAATAAAAAATGTAATGTCTTAATTTCTTCAATGTAATGTCTTAATGAGTCTCAAAATAAAAATAATAAAATTTTCAAAACGGCAATATTACGTAATCACAATCTTTTTTGTTTAAACCACTTTTGAAGAATACTGGTCATATTTTTTTTCCCTAAGGCTCACACACTTTCATTTCAAATTAGTCTGTTTAAGGGGTGCTTTTCCAGTTAAAAGTTGCCATAAATATAATGGCAACTTTCGGACTACTTGTCTATTACTAATTTTTTCAATTTCTTATCAAAGGTATATTTTTCATGTTCGCAAATGCATTTTAAAACTTTTAGTATTATTTTACTCACATTAAGTCAATTTACATGTTAACTTGTAGACCCCAGGATATGAGTTGTGTGGAAGTCAAGACTTTGTTGTTTTGAGTAAACAAATTGATGATTTGAGTAAACAAATTGATGATAATAGATAAAACGCATCTTGTATTTATTATGGATTATTTTAAGTTTCTTACTTTTGTTAACTTATTTTTATTTTTTAACCTTGTAATTATCTTTTAAATTTTAACACGAACATTTCTTAGCGGTACTCGACGACAAGACCGTATGGTCTTCTACGAGTCCCCGCGTTCTTTTATTTTCTAATAACGACCATTATATTTATATATAAGTTTATTATTATATATTTGTATTTGAAATATTGTAACGAAATGCTTATTTTACATGTAATGTAAAAAGAACAAAAAAAAAATGATTTTTTGTTACATCAAAAAATCATCGGTAGTGCTGTTTTTGTTTTGTTACAAGAATGTTGTACTAAAAACAAAAAATAATTTAAATTGCAAATTGTTGCTATGAGTAACTATTGTGATGGATTAAATTCTAATAATATACAGGAAGTATCATGTTTTTGTTTGTGCAGATGCTTTTCATATGACAACAAAAAATTTTCCTTGTTAAGCTCGAGGAAAACAAAAAGTTAAAAAAAGGTTCAATACACTTTGGTGGGAACGTTGACAGGTGTAAACAGGGTTGTCAAGTCTATCAGTTGATAGACCAGTTCTGCAGCTAGAAATATGTCCAATTATTCGTAATCTTAAATTGTTTGTTTTACCAGTATATGTGGCTTGTTTTTTGCAAGACAAACATTTAAGGTAATAAATTACATTTTTACTGTTGCATGTGATCTGGCTTTTTATTTTCAAATAGTACCATTAGATGTTTCAAACTCATCTACTTTTTGAAGATGGAGTTTGCATATTTTACACCGAATGTCTTTGCATTTAAATATCCCAATCTTCTTATTAGTTGATTCAACTTTTGAAGAAGTAAGTCTTCTTAGTAAACTAGGAGGTTGTTTAAAAACTAATACTGGATGAATATTAGAAAATATATTTTCGACTCTTTCATTCTGAGATACTTTGAGTAAAAGGTTAGCTTGTGAAATTAAAGGTTAACAATTGAAATTACTATAGAATGTTGTCACTAAAGGACTTATTTTGTGGTGCCGATTCTTATAGTTTTTCATTATGGAATACTTTATCTATAATTTGTTCAGGATAATCACAATCTTTCAACTATGACTTTAGTTCTGTTAAACAAAATATTTCAATTTTGTAATTAGATGTAAAAACAATTTTTCTTTTAGCTGAATTATAAGGAATATTCTTTTTGATGTAAAAAGGATGATGACTTTTATACTTTAATTATATATATATATATATATATATATATATATATATATATATATATATATATATATATATATATATATATATATATATATATATATATATATATATATATATATATATATATATATATATATATATATATATATATATATATATATATATATATATATATATATATATATGTTATATATATATATATATATATATATATACATATATATATATATATATATATATATATATATATATATATATATATATATATATATATATATATATATATATATATATATATATATATATATATATATATATATATATACATATATATGTAGCATTGTTCGCTAGTGATACTACCATTTATTCTTGTCATGATAAGAAGCCAACACTCTCTGATAGCTTAGAGGGGGCATTTGAGCTTGAAAAGAATCTCACTTTTGCTACAACATGGGACTCACAGTGGCTGGTGAAATTTAATTCAGATAAAACTCAATTTTTATCAGCCAATTGTTATCGCAATAATTAAGATCTTCCTATATTTAAGAACGGTAATGTACTCAATGAATCATCTACCCTTTATCTTCTAGGATTAACTCTTAATTCCGATCTTTCTTGGAAACTAAATATCAAATCCGTTGCAAAATTATCATCTGCTAAGATTGCATCTCTTTATCGACCTCGACACTTTCTTACTCCGGATTCTATTCTTTATCTCTATAAATCTCAAATCCGGCCTTGTATTGAATACTGTTGCCATATCTGGGGCAGATCTTCTAATGATGCCCTTTCTCTTTTAGGTCTGAAAACGCATTGTAAACATTGTTGGACCTGCTTATGCAGCCAACCTTTAACCATTATCATATCGTCGTAATGTTGCTTCTCTTTCTCTTTTCTAAAAATACCATAATGGACACTGCTTTATAGAGCTAGCATCTCTTGTGCCATCTACTAAAAATCATTCTCGTATTACTCGTCATTCAATAAGGCTCATCCTTTTTCTGTGACTGTTCCAAAGTGCTCTAAAAGAATTTATTATATATATATATATATATATATATATATATATATATATATATATATATATATATATATATATATATATATATATATATATATATATATACATATATATATATATATATATATATATATATATATATATATATATATACATATATATATATATATATATATATATATATATATATATATATATATATATATATATATATATATATATATATATATATATATATATATATATATATATATATATATACATCAAGATGAAGGAAATACTCATTGAGCAAATTGCTCTGCTGAACGTAGCTTTTCGTTGCTAAAAGGATTGAAATCGCATTTAAGATCTACTGTAAAAGAACAAAGTTTAAACGCCTTATCTGTATTATCAATAGAAAGCGTTTAAACTTTCAATACTGATTATACTGATATCATTGATGGCTTTTATAAAAAAAAAAAAGAAGAAAACTTTTATAGTGTATTTTTGCTTTTTGGTATTTTGATAAATTTGCAAAAATAACAGGTAATTAGTTTTAACTGTAAATATGCTTTGCTTTAAATTATATAGGGCAATGGCTATTCATATGCATAAGGACCATATAAACAAATACGGATACCATAGAAACATAAACATATATACATAAGTATATATATATATATATATATATATATATATATATATATATATATATATATATATATATATATATATATATATATTTTTAGAGTTGCTAATTTGGCTATGGCTTAGAAAGTTGTTTTTTTTATGTACTAATTTATTATTATTTAGGAAAGTCATTACTTTTATGATTTGAACAATGTCTTCCACCCGCAATTTTATTTACAATAACTTTAATTACAAATAACTTTTAGTTATAAATAAACTTTTTAAATACTTATTTAAAAAGTTTATTTATAATTAAAATTATAAAAAAATACTTATTGCAATAGCTAACAATGCTAAATGTTTTTAAAAAGATGTCTGGCTACGAAAAATAGCTGTTTAACAAAAAGCAGCTCAGATATTTTTTGAAGTTATACTTTTATTATATTTTAATTTTATGTAAAACACAACTCATAAATCTTTATAACAAACTTGTTAAAAACTTGTTCACTATCTATAGACAAAAAGCTGAACTAAGCACGGCTGTTTCACTCAATATAAAAACAAGCGTGACGTCATGAGTTTATCAAAAAACAAAGTATTTCCCCATAAAAAGTATAAAAATTCACAAACTTTAAATTAATAGTAACTTTTTTATTTAAATGTTTTCATCTTGCAATTAAAAAAATATAAAAGATCTATCTTTCCTTGTTAAATAAATATTTACATTAATTGGTATAAAAATAAATATTGCCAAAATATTTTTAATAATTTAGAACCACTTTTCTAATTTTCGCATATTTTCCGGAAAACATGAGTTGGGCCAACTAAGATTTCATAACATAGCTCTGTGCTTGATAGTTGAAATTTGGAACACTTAACCCTAAATGTCCATTCTATCAGATTCCTGCGTCATCTTAGAGATTTTATTACAAAAAGACTGTTTTTAAAGCGTTTATATTTTTTAATTGATCGTTTTTAAATGCAAAACGTAACTTTTTTGATGGATGACGTAAGTTAATGAAATTTCAACCTTTTATGCAAATGAAAATAAAAAAATTATTTTACTTGCCTTCAGCTATGCTATAAAATATGTTTTCAAAAATGTCATGTTTTACAACTAATCTTAGTTTTAGGCGTACATTTGTGTTGATGTTTATTTGCGTTACTTCCCAAACTATTTATTAACGAATATTCTGCAAACAACTGTTTCGGCGAGTCAATTTTTGAAGTATAAACTAAACAAAGTTACGCGAATTTTTCTATATGGATTATCAAACTAATATAGGTAAGTTGTTAAATCCACTTTTATCTTGCATATATTTGTTAATTAATATTATTTTATTTGTTTTTATTATATTGATTAATAAGTTAATATTATTTTGATAACTATGTATTTCAACTGAGAGGGAAATTCTAAAACAACATATTGGATGGAAAAATGGTTGGGAAGATAGGTGTAACTTTCCTTTTGTTAAGCGATTAATTAGGACAGATAAGATCAGTAACAATGTCATTTCCATTTTAATGACAGTCTTTAAAATAAGAAGTGATTTATTTAGTTTTATGAGTTTTCTTTTGCCTATTGATTTTAATATGCCTAGTAATGACGAGTTTGATAAAATGTGCCTAAAGTTAACACGCCAAAAAAAGAAATATAAAAAAAATTTTAAAGCTATAAAAAACGAAGAATTTTTTAAAATCCAACTGTCACAAGCTCCACCCAAAAAAAAAAAAAAAAATCAGCAGATGCAGATGACTCTTTCACTTTAAATAACAGTCAGGAGCTACTGAATCAAATTGATCAATTAACTTCTGAAAATAAAACAAATATGGAGCAAATAGAAAAATTTAAAATGCAAGTATTTAAGTTGAGAGCTGAAATTACAGATTTAAATTCTAAAAATAGGGCTCTCAACACACATTGTAACTCATTAAGTTCTCAATTAGAGACTATGAGTATTAGGCTAAAACAGGAGAAGCAGTTCCAACTTTAAAAAAAAAAAATTAAAGCAGCACAGCGTAAATTTGCATCTGCTCGTGCCAAAATGTAAAATTGCTAAAAAAAATTAATATGGAAAAAAAAATTGCAAAAATTAGTGATTTAAGCCAGAACAGTTGCCAAATTTGCAAATGTTTTGCTAATAGCGATAAGGATTTAGTTGTGGTTGATTCTTATTTAGACTATGACAACATTGGTTCCTCTGAATTATTTTGTGGGTTTTAATTAAGTAATCCACAGAATATATCAGTTAAAAAACCAATAGTTAGTAAAAAATATACTTACGTTAAGTTAGGAAATAGTAAACCTTATTCTAAGTTAGGTAGGCATGCTGCAGCTAGACGATCTAAACTTGCTTTTATACTCCTTCGAATATTAGCTTGTTCAGATTTAGAAAGTGATTTGTCTATGTTGTTTTGTGCTTCTATGTCTTGTGAAAAGTCAATATTTTGTTGTGTTGCAAATAAGTTGGGTTTAGTTAAGCAGTTAAGTATTTCTGATGCTGTAGAGCTACATAGCCAATTGAGGATGCCCACTGCTGAATTCTGTAGACTAAGACGTATTCTGTGTAATCTTGGTGCAAGGATTCTCCCATCTGAGTCCAAGATAAGACAAGAACAAGAAATGCAGACAATGCATGTCATTAAAGAACATGTCACTGTGAAGTCCATGTTACTTTATCCATCTGCGAATGAAGCACCTTGTTTATTGTCTGTACTGATGGTCAAGAATTTGACAACTTATATTGAAGAGGTTTTTAATAATCTTTATGTACGAGACCACCTACATTCAGATGTCGGTTTTGGCGAAGAAGTATGGCTCCTTTTTGCTGGTGACAAGGGTGGAAAGTATATGAAATTTCATTTTAAAGTTGTCAATTCTAAATCATCAGGGTCTGTATACAATGTTCACTTGTTTTGTATGTATCAGGGTTCAGACTGTCATGAGAATAGTTCTCGGGCATTTTGCCAACGACATTAAAAGAATTCAGTCGTCGGATTTTAAGCTAAAAGGCAAAATAGTCAGGTTGTTCTTAGGTATAGATTTTCATTTTATCGATGATGTTCTGGGACACCAGGGTTCAGCTGCTAGCTTTCCTAGTTCTACAGACCTAGTTAAGTTGAATTCTTTAAGAAACCATGCTTCTATGCCTCACACACCTGCTAATTGTAACATCTTAAGAAGGTCAATACAATCTCTGGAAAGTGCTTTCAATGAGAACTTGTGTGAAAATAGACAAGGTGGAAACCTAAGAACTTTAGGTAAGTTTCATAATTCAGTTATTTCCCCTGTGATTTTTCCTATAACAACTTTAGATAATGTAGTGCCACCTGTTTTGCATATTATGTTAGGAGTTGTGTTAAAACTGTATAAGTTATTGTTGAAGGAGTGTAAGACTTTAGATAGTCAAGCTGTTTCGTCTTTGTCGCATTATGAGAATGTGAGAAAGAATGAATTGTGGGCTGCTAAAAGTTAAATGTTCTAAATGTTGAATGTTTTAAAACAGCAGAAGCTTTACGTTTATTAGGAAATCAATTTGTAGACATTGCAAATCTACAGGCGCATTGGTTAGCTTTTAATAAAAATATTTCTGAATTATCTCTAAACTCCTCCAATAAAAAAATAACCTGTAAACAGCAAGAAATGTGTGGTAGTATTAGGTGTTTAATTACAAAATAAGATTGTAACATTGTTTGGGTGCAGTGTGGTACGTGCCAAAAATTGTTTCATCAATTTTGTGAAATTATTGGTGATTCGGAAAAGAGTGTATTGTGTGACATTGAGAAGTATGAGTGTTAAGCATGTCAGAATGAAGATATAAAATGTCTTGACCTTTATATTTCTGAAAAAATTTCTTTTATATGCGCCCAACGGGAACTTTTAGACGTTGAGTATATTCGATTGCAGATGGAGTGTGAAGTCCTAGAAAAAGAATATAAGAATAGCATAGGGCCTCATGAGAGGTCTCTTTGTAAGGCCCTTGAAGATATAAAGGTTGAGCGACAAGCTTACCATGGTAATGTATTTGTAGGTAATCATTGCAAAATAGTATTAAGAAACCACTATAAACTTTGTAGTGCTATTGATGATAAAGCAATTAAAAATAGATGTGTGTTTAGTGTTTTTAATAAGTTGCAACCTATTCTTTTTTGGCAAAAATTTCTTTCCGATGCCGAAATTACTGAGCTTCATCAATATATAAATTTATTTCCTATTGAGTTTCATGCTTGCTTTCCAAATGAAAGTATCACACGAAAAATGCATGAACTTATTTTTAATGTGCCACTATTTGTGAAATTCCATAAAACTATTGGGTTGCTTAGTAAAGAGGAGGGAGAGTGTTTGCATAATAGCGTAAATAAGGAATTAAGACAGTTGCATTCAGTTCGAAATCAGGAGCAGAAGCTGCATCTTGTTTTAAAACGTTTGGAATTGCACAGCAAACATGATAGGAAGCTTCAAGCCTCTAAGGTGAGAAAGTGTGTTGTGTGTTCTGAGCGTGGCGAAAATTCATTTTATAGACAAGGTCTTTGTCTTGTTTGTGGTCATCAAATTTAGTTAAAATATTTAAAAAATTAAAAACAACAACAAAAAACTATTTACAAGTTAGATAAATTATATGAGATCTTTAATTTATATATAAGATAATTTTATTCTGTTCTAATATCTGTGTAATGTTAGTTTAAAATATTATTTTTTTAATATATTGATTTTATATATTAGGTAGGTGCCCATTCTGTTCCTATCTTCAGAAGTTATTTATACCTATGCAATACCTTCGCTCAGGTTAAAGAATGGAATACTAGTCTTGCATCAAATGTATGTAAAAATCTACTTTTTATATATTAACTTGTAAACAGAGCAACTGGTATGTTGGTTGGGTATCATCTTGTATGTTTGTGTATTTAATTTAAAAAATGTATTGTCTTTTATTATATGTAATATTTTTTTATAGATATTTTACATATCCATTCGATGTTTATCACCAGAAGTTAGTTCTACCTTTGCAGTACCTCTGCTCTACATACCTCCTCGCTGGTTAAAGAATGGAATATAAATCTCATATCAAGTTGGTGTAAAAATTTAGTTCAATAAATTAAGAAATTTGTAAACGTTATCAAAATTTTGAGTGGAGCAATTGTTTTTCTGGTTTAACATGAGTATGAATCTGATATCAACTGGATGTACAAAGATTGTTTACTACTTAAAGAACCTATCTGATTATGAAAGAACCAACTGATTATTAAACAGTTTTTAATGGGAATAAAAACAAATTTTCAAAAGATTTCAATTAGCTATTTGTATATTCAAACACTTTATTTACTGAGAGAAGAGACTATATATTCAAGTGCTATAAAATAATTCTACTACCAAAAGCGAGGTTAATTCAAAAACTCAAATTTGGTCATGAATTATTTTATTAGACTTAGTGAGTCTTTATTTATTAACAACTTAACACCATATTATTAGAACTGTATGCACAGAAAAAAATAAATGTTTAAGCTTTAAATGTTTTGACTAAATATTCCAAAATCGAAATCTGGCTTTATTTTGCAATGCAATGAATTTATTGGCTTAGGAAAATAAGTTTCTAAAACAAGAACACCTAGGTTTAAAAATGTACTCTTTTAACAGCTAATCCCCCTTTTAACTACACTTGTCATAATTTTGCGAAAAGTGCGGTTTGCTTTCAGACCTCAATAAAGTCTGTTATAGCTAAGCTTAAACAATTAAGTAAGGTTTTTTTGTTTTTATAATAGTCAAACAATGGGTATATTTGAGAAAAACTATCAGAAATAAATTTTTCTGATTTTTTTTTGATAAAAAGTAACATCAAATTACTTGAATTCAGCCAACTTCATCATTTGTCGTTTTTTAAACTTAAAGAAATTTTTTTACTAATGCATTAAACGTCGTAAGATGAAACATTTTATTGGTGTTTTTATTCTTTTTACAAAACAAAATTATCTTAAAATATTTCAAAAGTAATAGAAGTTTCAGTAACACCCCTTAAGAGGGAAAACCCCTCAAAAAATTATTTTCTAAAGTAAAGCATTAGTAAAGTTATTACATGTTCTAAATAATAGTATACTAAATGTTAAGATCTATCATAAAAATGAGCTGATTTTTTTCTAACTAAAAAGATCTATGCAATAAGCAGACAGTTTTTGAAAATAACTTTTCTGTCAGGTAGTAGGCCTGTTTACTTTTGGCAAAAATTTTAAGCACAAAAATGATAGTTTTTTTTTTTATATATCTTTAGTTTAAAAAACATTTTTAAAAAGTTGTCTGCTCATTGCATACATCTATATGAGAGGGATACTCCCTGAAAATTTCATTAAAATCGGTCAAGCGGTTCTCAAGATACTACTGCCGGGAGAATAAAAACAAGCGTTCTGAGAAAAATGCCAAATAAGTTGAAATTGTGATGAAAAATATTATATAATAACAAAGATACAAAAAAATATAATATAAAAAGAGCATACTGATTGTATTTTTTAATCATGAACACCAGCCCCATACAATTTCCCTTCTTTCTGTTCAACTTAGTCAAATTTTTTAAGCTTGCGGCTTCTTAAAATCTTCCTTTTTTTTTTTTGATGGTGTCTTGATTTTCATACTCTGACATCATAACTCTTTTCTGGTTCAGGTAATTGCATCCAGAAATGGTATGTTGCCCTGGTATCATATTAAGTCTTTCAAATATAAGTATACTAGACTTTAATCCTATATTTAATTCACCAATAGCATCATAGAGTCCAAATTTCAATTGCGTAAGCGAAACATACTTTGACTTAGGTATTCTGGACCATATCATTGCATTAAAACTTTCATTTTGATTCTGTGTTCTTCCATGAAGCAAACGATTTAAATAAGCATCTGATGTTAGTTCTACATAAATGGGCTTTAACTTGTGTACTATTTCAATAGGTAGACCTGGTCCGGGTTTATACTCTTTGGTTCCATTAGATTTATCTCGATTGTATTTACACCAACTATCTTTTCCTGAGGGACAATGCGGGTAATGCCAATTATTTTTGCTTGAAGATGCTACATGAAATAAGCTAGCCAAAGCTGAAGATCTTATACCTTCAAGGTTGCCACAATTTTGCCTAAAGCAAATACCAAAATAATTTTGCAACCGATCAATTGTAGCGTTTGTTAAACCGCCTTTACCATTTAAACCCTTGACTTGCTTTTTTAATTGTCTACAACGAGATCCAATGCGCTTTTGAAAATGTCCAATACAATCTAGTTTAATTACTTCAATACCCTTGTATGTGTTTTTGACAGAAGTGTAGCTTTTGCTATCACCATCACCCAAGTATTCTGTGTATCGTAAATTAAATTTTTGCAAAGAGCGATTAAATATCTTTATTTCCCTAACTGTTTCCATTCCACCGGCTGATCCTTCATAGTTTTTATTGCAAATATGTGATTTTTTTGCTGTTAGCTGCTGCTTTGAATTACCAACATCTTGATTTTATTGTCACATATATTACACTTTCTAGATAATGCTTCAACATCTAAAACCTTCCCATTTTTAATTGATAATGCTGCCGTCACCCCATTGTGTGAATTAAATTCTTTTTTGCCATGTTCCATCAACAGAAACTCCAATATCTAAGATCTCATTAAGAGATTTGCCTTCTCTGAGTTCTTGTACAGCTTCATTCATAGTTTCAACAGCAACAGTTTGTGCTGCAGTTGCCAATTTTTGAACAATAACATTATAGCTTTTATTGCATAATCCTTTTGGGATATTCATAAGAGTGGCAAACCGATGTAGACCAGCTTGGCCTTGACCAAGTGTTCTCATGGCATACACTAATCATTTGTTAATATCAAACCCTGCTACATTTTTTGATGTGTCAAAGTCTAACTTGAAACCACAAACACAATTTAATGATAAATTTGATGCATATCCTTTGCAAGACTTTTTATTTTCGCTTAACGACAACTGTGATGGTCGCAAACATTCTGGACACCCAAGTTTATCAAAAATGGAAGCAAGAATTTCTAAATCAATAAACCTGTAGCCACTGACACATTTTGAGTTTCCACTTGGAACCATTACTTGCTTTACTTTTTTTTTTTGATGCACTTTTAAATACACTTTCACTTTCAATATTTACAGAGTCTACCATATTTTCATCATTACTATTAACATTATTTACACCAATGTTTACACATTTTTCTTGCTTTCTTAAACCAGAAAATGTACATTTACGTTTTCGAAGACGTTTTGTAGAAAATTTTACTCTATCACTTTTATATTCTGTTTTAGACTTGTCCATTTTTTTTAATTATATAGAAAGCTTGAGTTGATTGTGTAGAAGCTTGAAAAGATGACTAATTTTAGCAAAATACTAAATAAACAAGTTTTTCCTTTATGTGGTTTATCATAGTTCCTATTACGATTAAAGGATAAACAATATGGCTAGCTAAAATTTATACTTAATAAGTCTAAAATCTTCTTCTTGATTATCAAAGAAAGCCAAGGAACAAATACTAGTTTTTATCGATGCAACTATAAACAGCTTCTACTTGAGTAAAAATTTCACGTGAGGAAAAATCTCAAATTGCTTAAAAATTATACTGTTATATATCATTGGAAAGAGTATCAATACAGTATTTAAAAATTGAAAAAATTATCAAAGTTAAACAATTTCTTCGAAAGTTGCGATGGTAAAAGTACTGATTTTTCGATATATGGATTTGTTAATGAAACTGTGGTCACAATTAACTTTTTTTTAACTTAAATAGTCATAACTTTGTCAATTCTAATCAAAATACAAATATCTTAATATCAAAAAAAACTAATTTGCACTCATGGTGATAGTTAAACAATAAAACTTGATAAAAATTCTACTCAGGGTGTATGTCAAAGGGGAAATCCAAAGTTTGTTCAAACTAAAATAATCATTTCGATTTTTTTTAAACCAATGAGAGATTTCCGGTTTTTAAATTTTTTCCAACCGTTTCAAATAATCAAACATGCATAATTTGTTTTGTTTTAGCTGTAGTTTGGTTTTACAAGCCTCGGCAGGAAGCGAGAGCTTTATCTCTCGCCCGCACCCCCCTGAAACAATTTACGGGAGCAATTTACAGCTCTCGCAAAAGCTTTTTTTTTCCCTCTAATTATCATTTTAACTAAAATCATTGTAACTAAAAATACACAAAGTCAAAAAATTTTAATTCACTGAATAATAAACAGGTACAGTTTTTGCAAAGTCAAAAAAAATTTTACTTCTAAAGATTTTTTTTACGGCGCTACAAATGATGCTTATTATGTGTATATTGTTGTAACATTAACGTAACAAACATATGCTAGTAATAAGTATAAAACCAAATTTTGTATTAAAATAGCAATTTTTATATAAATAAACAGATAGCTTGTGCAAACACTAAAAACTCTCGTAAAAAGAAGTTTAGAGAAGCAGCTCACCTGGCTTGCCATGTTTGTTATTGGAGAGCTTATCTCCACTTTCGCGCTCATTTACTCCCTCCGAGGCCTGGTTACATATAGTAAGACTTTTTTCAACAATAATCAATTTGAAAAACTTTTAACTATTTTGGGTACGTCCAACGACGTAGCAGTTTCCCCTATGCTGTATCAACGTCACCAAAACAATCTCAATTCGTGGAGTCGATAAACATCCCTTCGTGGACGAAAAAACAGCCACAGATGCAAGAAAAGCTAAAACTGATGAATCTTTGCAAGCATCCACGTCAACCACAAAAAAATAGAGCAATTCCCTTTAAATCATATAAACTATCAGCTACGCAACCAACAATTAAAAAAAAAAAACTTATCATCTGTCAGCTTTATAAACTTTTTTTTATACTATTTAATATTTATTAGATCCATTTCATATTCAAAATCTCTCATTGAAAAAAAAAATCTCCAAGGCAAAAAATTTCCAAAATCTTATAAAATCTTATAAAATTTTATAAAAAATTTCCAAAATCCAATAAAAAATTTGCAAAATCTTATAAAAAAATTTCCAAAAAATTTGCAAAATCTCTCATTGAAAACAAAAACTTCAATTACTAATGGGGATTTTAACTTTGAAAACATTAAGTAGAACAAGGTTGGTTAAATACAACAAGCGGTGAAACTAGTTTAGACTCCAAACTTGCTGATATTATTTTTGAACTCCACCTCTATCAACATGTAACCAAACTAACTTTTATACAATCCACTGGCAGGCCCGTAGCAGGGTGGGCAGCAGGGGTACTTGGCTTCCTCCCCCCTTCTCCCCCCCCCGCTTCCCCCCAATA